ACAGGAGAAACTTCACTGTGTAGAGACTTATTGAGTCCAAAAATGTAAAGACCATTCCAAAAATCACCCTTGCCAATCATCTTCAACGAGAACTTGTCCTGAATAAGGCAAGAATCACCAAGAAACTTAACCATTAGAGATGTATCACGGGTTAATGCACCAACTGAGAGTAAGTTGAAGCGAAACTGAGGAACATACAACACATTCTSTAGRATAATATCAGAAGAAAGCTGAATATCTCCAACAAATTGCACCAAAAACTGAGACWGATTASGCAGAGTAACAGATATACCAGATACAGGCTTCAAAAAYAGAAAATGATTTCTGAAATAACATATATGAGCGGATGCCCCTGAATCAATTACCCAATGATTTACCAAGCTATTTGAGGAAATTATGGATGAACATATACCTGCCAYATGAGTGGTGCTAGARGTAGTAGACGTTCCATCCTTAGCTTTGGTAAGGTGACTTTGAAGAAGACTCAACAGAGTTTGGCATTGCTCAGGATTCARAGATGCCAAAGAATCAGCCACASCAGTAGAGGATGYTGATTTCGACAGATTATCATTACAAGCAGAGGCGGTCATAGAGGATTGTGTCGACTTYGACTGCGAAGAATTACGCGARCGATACCCCGGAGGATAGCCATGAAGCTTATAGCAACGATCGACTGTKTGACCTTGAAGGCCACARTGAGTACAAACAGATCRTTCCCGACGCTTCCCTTGATTGTGAGAAGAACGATCTGTAGATGCCGAAGAAGATCGGGCCATCAAGGCAGTAGGAGAAACCATAGGCGGGGAAGACAGTGCCCGCTGTTGGGATYCTTGAGCAATGAGGGCAAAAGCTCGATTAATAGAAGGCTCCGGCTCCATAAGAAGCAATTGAGCCCTAATCTGACTGAAGGATTCATTTAATCCCATCAAGAACGTCATTACGTACTCCGTCTGAAAATAATCARATATAKCTTGCATACCACCGCAAGAACATCGCYCGCATGTGCAAGAAGGACGATACGACGCAAGTTCAGTCCATAAAGTTTTGAGTCGAGTGAAATAAGTACTTACAGAAGACTGATCTTGAAGCAATGTGGAAAGTTCAYGACGCAATTGAAAAATCYGCGGCCGATTTTGACGTTGAAATCGTTCTTTAAGGTCTAGCCACATCTCCCGTGCCGAATCGGTAAATAGCAAACTCGCAGATATCTCCTTTGACAGAGAATTCAGGATCCATGCGATAACCACGTTGTTGCAAATTATCCATGAATTGAGCAATTCACCAGTCGGTCGCTCAATAGTACCATCAACAAAGTCAATTTTGTTCTTGACCGTAAGAGCAATAGTCATAGAACGGCTCCAGGACGTGTAATTTTCATCTGTGAGCAAATCGGACACAAGAACAAGACTTGTGTTATCAGAATGATGGATGAAATAAGGATTGGCGTGTTGATCAAAAGGAGACGGAGTCGAAGAGGATGCTGCTGGAATTGCAGGAGTGGCCGGAACACCAGGTGGAACCAGTCGTGGAGGCAAATCAATCGGAGTTGAAGAATCCATCGAGAAAGTTGTGGCGAAGAAGCGGAGTCGTGGCGAGGAAGCAAGAAGAAAGGCGGAAGAAACAAGAAAGGCCAAAGAAATGGTGGGACCCGCAAAGAACTCTCACGAAAAAAATTATCGCTCTGATACCATATTGAAATCATGAGAGTAAATAAAACTTGCTTATTTTTATTAATGTCAAAGTGGCAGTATATATAGACCATTGTACAAGCAGTTACCCAAGTTACACAATACAACTGAATTAAGTTAATATACATTGGTAAACTTAAATCCTAATACTTACTTCATGATCAGCTAGTTTTAGAAATTAAGTTTGTTTGCTAAAAATTCATTTTCACTCACTTTTGAGACAACAAATTGTTGGTAAGGGAACTTAATCTTTGAATACAGAGAATGAAAACCCGCATTGGGATCAAACAGGGTCTTAACTAGTTACCAGTATAGGAAACTAATCCCATAACAAGACTAACTAAATATATTAATCTACAAAAAAAAACTCCACCTTTCACAGTATCTCACCAACTCAAAAACCAACTCCTTCCTTAAGTGAGTGGGGAAATGAGAGCATACAGAAGCTTTGGATCTGAAGTTAAGAAATTTGGCTACAGAGCGGATGTGGCTTTGCTGAGGTTGCAATCTGATCAATATGAACTTCATTGATTAGCTTGCAGTTTAAAGCAAAGACAACTAACATTCTTAGCTCTTTTCTCTCTCTTTTTCGAACTAACTTGTTTTTAAGGAAGTTCAGCTGTCAAAGTAGCTAATAGGGAAGTCAATATTTATTTTGTAGTTATGGAATAATATCCTCCAAATCTTCTGGCTCATATATGCTCTATAAAGATTTCAACGTTCACCGATGACCAGTCCGTCCCTTTGCTTCCTTTACTAGGAATAAAATGTTTTTGTTCTGTCATTTCTTAGGCCCCCAATGTGTGCTGTTCTTCCTGATTTACAAAAACTCCTCGAGTTAAAAGTAGAAGAGAAAAGTTATTTGGAAGATTATTATTATGGACATATCTTATGGAGTTTACTTAGAAGGGCATTCTCTATTCCCTTCTTTTTGAAGATCTATATAATTACAGATTTGAAGAATAGCCCCTCTTTGTAGTTCAATTTTCTAAAATGGTTCTGAATTCCCATTTTAGTCCCTAAATTTTTTTAGGTTTATTCTATTTTTATTCCTAAATTTTCAAACTTAGCATAAAAAGTTTCTTTTCAATCTTATATTTTTGATCCATTTGTCTAATTAGTAGATGTCTATCGTTGACCAGACACATGTTGTAGGTTGGGTATTAGGTTTCGAATACACACTATGATTTTAGTAAATGATTGACAGAAAGTTAAACGTAGTCTAAAATAGAATTTTTGAAAGATGGATGAAAGTAGGAAAGTTTAACGGCTAAGACAAGATTTAAACCCAGGAACGGTCCTACTTTTCAGTCCTCTGCATTGGGCCGAAAGTTTTTCGTTAATTTGTGTCTGCTTGATTAGCAACATAACATGAATTTCTTGTCCCTCCCTTATTGATTATGATGTTGTATCTCTTCAAGATATGATTGTAAATTGTCCTGTCTTTCATTAAACTATTCTAATCATTCATAATATTCCTTTTGAGGGCTGATAGTAATCTCATTGTCTCTTTCTTGCAGTTTGGAATAGCTTTCCAGCCTTTATCTTATCCTTTTCATTTGGTGTGAGAAGAGAAGCATGTTGCCTTTTGCATGTGGAATCATGTATCTTTGTTTATATGTCATGAACCTATAGTGTCCATAGTAAATCTTTTTACCATATGTTGTATCTATATCTATAAAAGTTCAGGTTGTTCAATGAAATGCTTCTGGTTGCTTTAGTATCTGAATTGTTCTTATTATTCTCTTTATTAAAGATCCCACGTTGAAAAGATAAGAAACTTGACAAAAGTTTATAATATACATGGGTTACTTTTCTCATTGTAAAAGTGATATAAGAACAAAAGAATCCTCTTGAATTTCTCAACCTTCCAACCATCTCCAAATGCTGTATTAATATAGTTGTTAGAATCCATATAAATATTAATGTGTATTGCATATGTGATGTCTAATTATTTCAACTTTTCTTTTAAATAATAAAAAGCAAAAGTATTAAAAATATTAAAATTAAAATGGATAAATAAAATGAAATATATGGTTGAAATATTCACCCAAGATTTTTTTGATTTGTAGAATAAATATAATTTTATTGATCTTCGTATAGTAGATACATATATTTATTCATTTGATTCTCTCTTGAAATCTTCTACGATCTTGTAGTTTTCAAAAAAGTCTTCGATTTTATGGAAGTCTTTATGAATTCTCTAACTTTTTGAGGTTTTTGGAAACCTTCTCCTCGAAGAGACCCCTTTATTTATAGTCTTTCATGGGTGTTATGTGGATTTGAGCTCATAGACTAACCTTGTGTGCTAATGTTTATAGTTTAGACCCATCGAAATGTGGCATAATCTGATTAGTCCATTTTATGGCCTCGTAAAAAACAAATAACTTTATTTAATTCGCCAATTTTCATGTTTTTAAATTTAGTTTGAGATACAATTTGTAATTAATAAAAACTAATTAATGACCTGACAATTTATAATTAGTGAAATTTATCAATCTGAATAAAATTTAGAGTAAAAGGAAAAACAAGTTAATTAACAACAATGATTCACTTACCATAACCCTCTTTCCAAATACAACTATTTAAATGGAATGTGTTTGGGGGTTGAAAATCGTATTGCCACGTGGAGGACAGAAAAAGGTCCTTTGTTGGCTGACCTGAAGTCGTCGACCTGAAGATCTTCCTTTTAGTGGCCGACCTGAAGAGCTCCACTGAGGGCCGACCTGAAGGCCTTGCCTCATGGCCGACCTGAGGCCTTCCCTAAAGGTCGATATGAAGGTCTTCCCTGAAGATCATTCAAGGGAGGAACGACCTTCCATACTTAGCCAAATTCCAGATGATAGAGTATGAACTGGAATAGCTACTCCCGACAGGCCAACCTTGGTCCCAACGTGCTCAACTGTTGGTCGGATTCCTTATCGGGTACCTCAACCTATAAATAGGGCACTTCACTCTTCAGTCAGGTATCGTATTCTAGCTCTGCCTCTACACTAAGGTCGGACTCAAAACTGACTTGAGCATCGGAGTGTTTGTTCACTTGTGCAGGTCTTTCCTCGCCAAGTGACATTTCAGCTCATTCCTGACACCAGCTCATCCTAGTCAGCCGACCTTGACCCTTTGAGCTGGTCATCCTTTTCCAAGGAAACTCAAGCTCTTCTCGCGGTCATACCTAAAAAACAGGTCATACGCTCCCGACGGTCATACTTGGAGTAGGTCGAGCTCTTCCCTATGGCCGACCTTGACCAGGTCATACCCCGTCACATTTTTTGCATAAACATTTGGCGTCGTCTGTAGGGAAGGACATTTTAAGTCATTCCTACCAAAAAAAGCTACACGCACGAAACAATCCAATATTCACGTCTCACGGGGATCTCCGAGATGTTCTCAAGGACCGAGCTAGGCGATCGACGTGTAAACGATGGTAGCTCAACCTCGCCTAGAGGAAGAACTTCATCTCAACTCATCCCCGCCTTGGGAAGAGTTTCATCTCAGCTTATCCTGGCAAGAGGAAGAGTTCAATCTCAGCTCATCCTCGACTAGAGGAAGAGCTATCAAGATAGCTTATCCCTGCCTAGAAGAAGAGCTTCATATCAGATAACTCAACCTCGCCAAGAGGAAGAGTTTCATCTCAGCTCATCCCCGACTTGTGGAAGAGCTTCATCTCAGCTCATCCCTGGCAAGAGAAAGAGTTGTTATCATCATAACTTAACCTCACCAAGAGGAAGAGCTCGATCTCAACTCATTCCCTCCTAGAGGAAGAGCTTCATCTTAGCTCAACTTCGCCTAGAGGAAGAGCTCTATTTCAGCTCATTCCCGCTTAGAGGAAGAGCTTCATCTCAGCTTATCCT